GCCTGTTGAACTCTTCCATCACGCAATATTTTAACAAGAGCCACTAAATAAGCTCTGTTTGCAGGGTGTAAATGCTCCCTCCACACTCCAACAACAAAACAATGTGTTTTAAGGAATAAACCCTGTTTCCTCCCACCTTCCCTCTCTGGGCAGGGAGCGCCTCCCTGTATCCCAGACCCAGGCTGAGCTGCTGCTCCCGCGCTCAGGCGGCAGCAGCGGCAGAGCCTCCCGCCGGGCCCTGGGCTGCCCTCGAGCCCTTGGAGGCTGCTGGAATCTGCAGTGTTTCACAGTGCTCTTTGGGAGGCGTTAAAGTGTGTTAATAAACCGTTTAATCGAGATTCCTCTAATAAGGATCTAAATTGGATTTCTGGAAGCATCGACATGGTCAAAGGGATATCAAAGCTTCCTGGGAAACGGTGGAAAGCAGTTCCGATGGAAACCCTCAACATCGGCCAAAAAAAGAAAATAAGAGATTTTGTTTCTGAAGCTGCTGATTTTCTTTCCAAGACCCCTGGAAATGGCCCTTCCAAAGGCATCTGCTTTTCAAAAGAAAAATGGTTGCAATAACCCAATTCTCTACTTAGAAAGTGGGGAAGGATGATGCTTGACCAGCCCATGCTCTGCCACCAGACCTTCCACAGCCTGTGTTTTCCTTACGGAGGAAAAGAAAGAGTCCCCTAAACCGCATTATAGTACTCTCCAGGTAGAGAGCGACCTGGTTTGCCAGGTGAAGAGGCACGTGGGGAGTTTTCCAAATGGACCTAATTGCATAAATACCTAGGCTGGGTTTTAACCTGCACGCTGGGTAAAATTGAGGCGCCGGCAGAAGGCCCATAAAAGGCCCGTGCAGCGCTTACGTCCCACCAAGGCGCTGTTTGCAGCGCGTGCCTGATGCATGGGCCCTGCGCCGGCCCCGGCGCGAGCACGGATTTCAGTCGCTCCCTATCGATAATAGTCAACGTCTTGGGGAAAAATATTATCGGAGTAACTTTATTAACGGTTGCGATAACTCACCGCTCGCCTCACCGTGCTTAATAAAGGGAATCGGGGGCGTTGCACATGAGGCAGAGCAGCGGCTGCAAAGCCAGCGTAGGGAAAGCCGCATGCGGAGGCTTCTCCTGCACCAGGAGCTGTGGGCACACAGCGGGTCTGGTAGCACAGACATATCCTGAATGCGACAGGAATCTTCCTTAGGTGCCCTTGTGATGGGTAAACCCCCAGTATGTTGGTGTTGGCCCAGTCTGATGTCTTTAATGGGGCTCTGCCTTGGTACAAAGGTGATGGGATGGGGCAGGGGCAGCCTGGGGAGGGACGAGGAGTTCTAACACCCAGCGATGCCTCAGATGGGGACAGTGAAGCCAGTGGAGGCCACATCTCTCCTGGCCTTGCCACTGTGGAGGCCACGGTCGCTGCTGGCCCCGGTGTTGGCACAAAAACCTGTAGTGCAAAACTGGAGAAACGGGGTCTGGGGGGGAGCCCCACAGACTCATCCCCGCGCAGGACGGTGAGGACGCGCAGCCCATGCGCACGGGTACATGGTCAAGCACGTTGTCACCTCAGCCCATGGTGGCACTGGGGGGGACACACGAGAGAGGAGCAGCAAACACACACACCCTGTGTTGCCCCCCAGCTTGGGTTTCCCTGCCAGCGACCTGGGGCTAAATAATGAATCGCTCTAAAATTACGCGGCCGAATGGAAACGCGCTAAAAATAAGCGAGCAGCTGCGCGGGCCGCATCCCCGCCGCGGCCGTGGGAACAGGGGGGGCGGCGCTGCAGAGACCCCCCCCCTCCCCACGGGGGCGACCCCGGTGCGTGGAAACCCCCCGCGGGAAACATTGCGGGTGTCCCGGGCAGCGCAACCCCGCGGGCGCGCAGCACTGAGCCGGGGAGGGGGGGAGACCCTGAGCCTCCCCCCAACCTCCTCCTCTTTCCCATTCCCGGCTTTTGCCGGAGGCTCCGGGATGATGAAGCGCCGCTCTCCGGGAGCCCAAAACCCGCCCGCTCCCGCTCCGCTCCTCGCAAGCGCAGCCCCTCGCTTCGCTGTGAAACACAACCCTTCATTTATGTGTTTTTCAATAAATAAATAAGCGGGGAGCGGCTTCGGCGCGAGACCCCCCGTCCTCCTCGCGGCGGCTGCAACAGCGCAATTTCCGAGAGAAAGGCTCGTTTTGATTAAATCTGACACGCCGCTGATAACTCCATGCTAATGCGAAATAATTAACATAATAGCCATAATTAAAAGCACGCTAACAATGCCATAAATTTATCACGCAATTTTACTAGCTTTCTGCCCCCTAACTGCTCTCTCATCGTTAATTAAACGTGTTGCCTTTTGCGGAATGGGTGTTTGTATATCTCCAATACAAATAAATCCGGCGCCGTTTTGGAAACACGGTCGATTTCGTTTGAGGGGGTTTCTTTTATTATTTTATTTACTTATTTATTATTCTTACGGTGGGGTCGCCTTGCTTTACAGGGGAATTCGAGCAAATTAAGAAAAAAAAAAAAAGAAAATAAAAAAAAATAGCTGCTTGCAAATAGCAGGTTAAAATAATAATTAAAGAAATAAAAGGAACATCTATGGAAGGGGATGGGAAAGCTGTATGTTTTGGGAAAAGCCGGGGGTGGGGGGCGGCCAGGCCCGGCTGGTGCCGCTCCCCCCAGCCCTGGGATTTGGGGATTTCCCCACTCGGGTCTGTTTATTTTGCCAGGATTTCTCACCTCCCTCCCCGCTGCTTCACGAGCGCCTCTGTCCCCTCGCACGTTTTTATACTGGGCACAGCGCAGGTTTAATCCAGGTCAGGTCAGCGATTTATATAAGTCATTAGTGAAAGTAACAGGCTGGGGGCGAGGGCAGGGGGCACCTCTGCTTTCTCCCGCCTTTACAACGAGTAGAGAAGCAGAAATTGCTCCAGCTCTGCCCCCCTCTGCCCCAAGCCGCAGCCTCCGGGTTTATTTTTCTCTCGTACCCCGGCTTTATAATCGCAGAGACAAATCCGGTTGTAATTAATCCCCTCTCTCGATCATAACTTATTCCGGCCGCTCTTCCCCCGGTGCGAGCCGCGTCTCTATCTGACTCCGTATCGATCCGCGGGTATAGTTTGTTTTTCTCCTGTTGCTAAATCCATCTATCTATCCATCCATCTATTCATCCATCTCCCCATCCATATTTCTCTCTGCTCCCTAGCGCTGTCAGGGCAGGGGTTCCCAGCTCCGCTTTCATTATTTTAGTGCCAAACTTCATCCCCCCCCACCCCCGGTTATAGTGGGAAAACTTCGGGGTTCGGATCACAGCGGGGCGGTTTCTCCTTCCTTCCCTCCCCGCTCCGGCTGAGGGGAATTGGTGGGTTTAGCGGCAAGGAGCCATCGTGTCCCGTCCCTCGTCCCCCCCCCGCCCCAACAGGCTCCTAAATCCTTCCCTAAACTTCGCCCGGGCAGCTGAAGTCCGGGGCGCGGAGCAACGCGGAGGGACGCGCCGCTTTCCCACGCCGGGGTGCCATAATTAACGACGAGAATTAATTAATGGGCTTTATATATGTATTTATTTATTATGGCGTCGAGGAAAAGCGTAACAAATGAGCCAGGGGCGGGRGGCGCGGAGAGGAGCGCAGCGGTGCAAGCAAGGGACCTGGCCCTGCGAGCCCGGCTGGAGCAGGGCGCCGATTTGCGTTTTTCCCAAACGCACCAAAAAATAAATCTCCGCATCGCAAATTGTTCGACCCCGCGACTTTTCTTTTTCTTTCTTCCTTCTCCCTAATTCATTCTATTTACTCAAATCCCCCCAAAACAACAACAACAACACGTGCGGCCATCGCAATAACGCGGGGGGACTGGGGGGTGCGTTTCCGATGGGTCCGCGCGGTACAAAGGGGCCCGCGGCCCCTCCGCGGCTCGCGCTCACCTGGGGCCGCCCCGAGCGGCCGCGCATCCCCCCGCGCTGCCTCATTTCCGACTTTTTCTCATGCTAACGCCCGCAATGATTAAGTCGTTAACACCTGGGGAGGGGGGGACACAAATAAATAACTACATACATACACAGAAAAAGGAAGCGACTAGAGGCTTCTTTATTTATAGTTTCCCTTTGTTATTTTACGTCTTTTTTATTATTATTATTTCTCTCCACACCTAAGCTAATAGATTAATCGATAGCCATTTTCGGACTTGCCGTCGGCAGCTGGGGCTACAGCTGGAAAAAAAAAAAAAAAAGAAAAAGAAAATAAGGCAGAAAAGTGAGTTCAGAGCGCGGCGAGTGGGGGGTTAAGCACTCCTAGGGGGGGACGCACCCGCCCTACACGCTGTCCCACGGGGAAGGCGAAAAAGATAAAATAAAAAAGGAAGAAAAGATGGTAAAATATGAATCAATAAAGGCCAGGCCAACGCGCAGCTTTGCAGCTTGCCTCGCTCGTCGTCGCCGAGGGTCCCGCCGTGGCTGCAGCCGAGGGGGCGGCGCGGGGGCCGCAGCTCTTTGTTGACGGCGCACGAAGCCACCCGAGTTTTTGCATGACTTCACGGCGGGGCGCCGTGACGTCACGGCGTCACGTGGCGTCGCCGCCGAGTATATCTTTAACGGCAAAGTAATCTATCAGCACTCCGGACACCGGCACTTGCGAAGGGGCGAGCGCGGCCCCCGCCCCCGCCTGCGCGCACCCCCTGCCCGCCCCCCCCTCCCGCTCGCCACCGCCGCCAGGGGAGAGGAATTCACCAAAAATAATAATAATAATAATAATCCGAGGAGCCGCGGAGGGGCGCGGAGGCGGCGCGGCCCCATGCGCGCCGCCCCGCCGCAGCGGTGACGGGCGCCCGGCCGCCTTCCCGGATGCCGGCGGCCAGGAGCGGGCCGAGGAGCCGCAGGTGACCGGGGCCGCCGAGGCAGCAGCACCGGAGCCGTCGCCGCGCAGCGGGCCGGGCCGGGCGCCGTCGGGAGCCGCCGCGGCCGCGGTGAGGGGCGCGGGCGCCGCATGCCCCGCCGCACCGCTCTAGCCCCCCGCCCGGCCCCGGCATGACCCTATCGGGCGGCGGCAGCGGCGACATGTCCGGCCAGACCGTGCTGGCGGCCGAGGACGTGGACATCGACGTGGTGGGCGAGGGCGACGACGGGCTGGGCAAGGAGAGCGACGGCGAGGCCGGCAGTCCCGGAGCGCTGCCGCGCTTGCCGCTCGACGAGGCGGCCGAGGCGGCGCTGCCCGCGGAGCCCTGCGCGGGCGCGGAGAGCGGCAGCAGCGGGCGCGGCAGCCCGGCCGAGGCGGCGCCGGGCGGCGGGGCCGAGGGCGGCCGCGGGGGCGGCGGGGACGAGGGCGCAAGCGGCGGCGGCGGCGCGGGGCAGAGCAAGCCCAAGAGCAGTCTTGTGAAGCCGCCCTACTCATACATCGCGCTCATCACCATGGCCATCCTGCAGAGCCCGCAGAAAAAGCTCACGCTCAGCGGCATCTGCGAGTTCATCAGCAACCGCTTCCCCTACTACCGGGAGAAGTTCCCTGCCTGGCAGAACAGCATCCGCCACAACCTCTCGCTCAATGACTGCTTCGTGAAGATTCCCCGCGAGCCGGGCAACCCGGGCAARGGCAACTATTGGACGCTGGACCCGCAGTCCGAGGACATGTTCGACAACGGGAGCTTCCTGCGTCGCAGGAAGCGCTTCAAGCGGCACCAGCAGGAGCACCTGCGGGACCAGACGGCTCTCATGATGCAGGGCTTCGGCGCCTACAGCCTGGCAGGGCCCTACGGGCGCCCCTACGGGCTGCACCCCGGCGCCTACGCGCACCCTGCCGCGCTGCAGTACCCCTACATCCCGCCCGTGGGGCCCATGCTGCCGCCCGCCGTGCCGCTGCTGCCGTCCAGCGAGCTGAGCCGCAAAGCCTTCAACTCGCAGCTCAGCCCCAGTCTGCAGCTGCAGCTCAACAGCCTGGGCGCCGCCGGCTCCATCATCAAGTCGGAGCCGAGCAGCCGCCCGTCCTTCAGCATCGAGAACATCATCGGCGTGCCCGCCGCCAGCTCGGCGGCCAGCGCGCAGACTTTCCTGCGGCCGCCCGTCACCGTGCAGTCGGGCCTGGTGGCGCACCAGCCGCTCGCGCTGGCGCGGACCACGGCGGCCATAGCGCCCATCCTCAGCGTGCCTACGAACATCATCTCGGGCCAATTCCTGCAGCCCGCAGCCCCCGCCGCCGCGGCCGCCGTGCAGGCCAAGTGGCCGGCGCAATAGGGAGCTCCGGGGCCCCCGGGGCCCGGCCCGGCCCGGCCTGGCCCGGTCCGGCCGCCCCCCCGACGGCGCCGCGGAGCCGAGCGGCACAGGTAACGCCGGGCAACACCTCCGGCTCTTGTACATATTTGTATGGGAAACCGCTGACGTCGCTTTCGGGGGTTTTTATTTTTGTAAGGAAAAAAATAATTAATTAATGATAATAATTAATAATGACGAGGCCACATCACGGTTAGGGATTTAAGGAGCTGCGAACTTTCGCTTTTTTTGAAGGTTCCGGCGCTCCCGGCTGCTTCGTGCGAAATGAGCGAGCAGGTTTAAACGGATGGTGGTATCGGGGGGAAAAAACGAGGGGGAGAATTTAAATATTAAATGAGCAAACAGGAAAAAGGGGGGGAATCAAAAAATGAATTTCGGAGAAAAGTCAAAAAAGGCAAAAACCCTGTCATTCTATTATAGAAGTCTGTTTATATATGAATGAATATATGTATTCTAAATGTTATCCCTTCGTGTTGTACACAACTTTGTAAATAAATTTTTAAACCGCTCTGCTCCGTGTGTGTCTGCCCGGCGCGCAGCGAGGGGTCGGGGAGCCGCGGCCTCTCCCCGCCGCCCCCGGTGCCGCTTTCTCCCCATTTGGGTGTTTTGCGGGTCCCGGCTCCGGCGCGGAGCTTTGCCGGGAAGCGGGCGGAGAAATCTCTGCAGTTCACTGGGCTCGGGGGCGCCGCGGCATCGGGTCGGCGGCTTAAAATTAATCTTGGCCCACCAGCAGCCTTGAGATAGCGCTAAAACGGGGGATAATAATCCTTCAAACGTACTCTTTTATTTCCTTTTTTTCCCCCTTCTTTCTTTTTTTCTTTCTTTTTTTCTTTCTTTTTTTTTTTTTCTCCCCTAAGCCGACTTCAGATTTCTATATTCGCGAACAGCAACGTGCCATTCCGGCGGCCTTTTACCATCCAGAATATCGGTACTTCCGAGGCGGTTTTCCTCGCTGCTTCTAAGGAAAACGGTTTTAAATAAACCCCCCGTGGGCCACCCAAACCACGGTACTAATTTTATTTCGCGGACGAACTGGAAGCGTCGCCTCATGCGGGGTCGGAGCGCGGATCTTTCGTTGGTGGCCGGACCAAAACCGAGGAAAGGGTGCGCTCCGTCCCGCCGCGGCCCCAGCGAGCCGCCAAAAGGGAGGATTCCCAGCATTTTCGGGGCTAAAATTCCAGAAGGGAAGTAAATCGCTGCAGCGCCTTACAGTATCTAAAACACCGATTGAAAAATATTTTTGCTATAGTTCGGCAAAACGAAGCCGAGATACTGAGAGATTCGTCCTCTCGCGTCGTACTGGCAGTCTTTCGTGCTCGATTTTTTTTCCCTACCCCGAAATTGTGTCGCTTAATTTGTGTCGCCTCCGAGAACCGATGCGGATGTCGCGGTTGTGCCCGGGAACACGCCGGCTTTGTTAGCAAAGATCAGCCGCATAAAAAGAAATCGGCTGCATAAAATGCATGTTTGGCTAAGCGGGCATTTTTTTTTCTCTCGAAAGTGGAGAATATGTCGCTTATTTCAAGTAATTTTCAAGTGAAAATAAGAGAGGGGAAAAAAAGGAGGGAAAAAAAAGAGGGACAAAAAAAGTGTCCTTGCTTTCCTGGTAAGCAGTAAATATTATTTCTTCCAAAGTAAATATTTATACCTCGGCATACGTGTATACTAAAATAAAACAAGCAGCCCGGCGATGAGCTTGCTTGAACTTGATAAATAAGGACTCGCTAATCATCTGACACGAAAAGGAAAAACCGTCACCTTAAGCGGGGAGCGATTGGGTGTCGCGGGCGCCTCGGCCCGGGCCCTACATGGGCACCCTCCTAATCGCTCTTCGCAAGGAAAACTTGACGGGTCTAAATCCGTTCCTGAGCGGCGGCTAAAAACGTCGCGGGTCGCTCCCCACTTGTGTCCAGCTAATCGGTTTTGCACAAACAGCAAATGGAGCCCGCGCTGAACAACGCGCGCGGGGTCGCCGCTATTTTTAACCGATCCCCCTGGGAAAAGGGGCAGAGGCTCCTCACGAGTGCGMGGCCGGGCTCGGGAAGCTGCTGATCCGGTGCTTCCCAGCGACACCGGAGAGCCAAGTCTCATTCCTGCTACGGGCTTTTGTTGCTTATAAAATTACCCCTCATATTTGCGCGCATAGCAGCCCMGCCGCAGCGGGACCCGGACCCTGCCAGGGCGGCGGCCCCGGGTCTGGCCTCGGTCTCACTGCGGGCGGCCGGACCGGGCCGGACCGGGCGGCCGGGCCAGGCGAGCGCCGTCSGCCACTGCAGTGTCGAACCGGGACCTGCAGGGGGCGCCGCGGGGCCCGGAGCCCCACTCCGGGTCCGGAGCATCCCGGAGCCGGAGCATCCCCGGAGCCCCCTGTGCCCCCCGCGGCGCGCGCGCTCCGGCCGGAAAACGGAGAATACCGTTTTCTTTTCTTATTTCTTTTTTTTTTTTCCCTTATCGCTTTTCTTTTTTACTCCTACCAAGTAGCCGGCGCATATGGCAAAACTTGACAGCGTTGGTGACAGATGCCTATTTGTATTAGACGTGTCATGTTTGGTCTCCCGGGTGTATTAAAAGTAACTGGATCCTCCGCACCGGGGGAATGAGCCCAGCCTGGATCCCCCCCCGCGACCCCCCAGGCCCCGGCCACTGCTGCTCGTGTCCTGGAGAAGAGCCGAGCCGGGTGCCCCCTTTTCCAGCCTTCCGAGCCGGGGTCTCTCCCTTTTCCAGCCGCCCCAAGCCGGGATCTGCGTCTCTCCGAGCCCTCGGGGAAAGGGCTGCGTTTGCGGAGTGTTTCCCGACGACAAACCCCGGGTCTGGGCAAGCGCAGCCGTTTCCTCGAGCGACAACGGTGCCGCTGCCGAGATTTTCCTGAATTACGCTTTCCTCTGCCTAAAACATTAAGCGTTATGTACTTAAGAGACGCAGAGCATGGGCATTACATGCACAGGAAGTATTTTAGGCAGTGAATGTTCAATGTAGCAGGTAGAGATGAACTTAGCGCGTCTCCCCGACCGAACCGGGAACAGGCTCTTCAGCCATAAAATGCACTTAACAGTCTATTTAATAGCGGCGAGGTCCTTGGAAATGCAATATCCATGCTAATCCTGCTTTTTTTTTTTTTCTAAATCAGAAATGAAAAATAGGTCAGGAAGCTAGCGTCTTCGCTTTCCATTAAAAAAAGGTGACATTTAATCGTTTTGAATAACTAAGTAAACTTTATAAAATCGGGGTTTGGTAAGCACGTTGGGGAAGCGGACGCCTCGATGTTTTATTAAGAGCACGGGATGAGAGCAAGAGAGTCCCTGAGCTCCAGGTTCAGTTAAATCCCCGCTCTCTCGGGCTTCAACGAAAAAGGAGGGGGAAAAGAGAGTGGGAGAAAAAGCTCGGATTAAAAAAAAAAAAAAAAAAAAAAAAACTGATCTCAGGTTCTGTTTCAAGAAGGTTTCCCTGTGTCCAGCGTAAGACAGAGGGAAGCCCCTCGACCGAAGCTGGTGCAGAGAATTACAGTGGATTTCAGAAACAAAACGGAGCCTCTTCAACTATTTTACTATAAGCTTGCACTTCGATTTGGAAAAAAAAAAAAAAATCTTTCTTCTTGCATGCTGCGCTAGCAGCTCCAAAAATAAAATATTTTGCTCCTACTCTTGTCCCGAAAATGAGGACGTGAAGAAGTTGGGGCTGGAGGGATGCGCCAATGCGAGGTCTCTCACACTGCGGCTCCCCGGCTGAACCAGCTCCCTTCGCCGCCTGCCCAACGTGCCCACTAATTTACGTGCGGGTTTATAGTGTTGAGAGCCCGGGAAAAGGTCAGGCTGCGAATGTGCAGCTGGAAACGTCTCTGGAGTTTGTTTCCCCACTCGCTCCCGCATCGCGGCTCAGCCCGGGAACTAAATCTTTGCAGAGTTGGGAAGCAACTTTTTACAGGCACAGATGCTTCCGAGAGTCCCCGGCTCCCATCTGCCCTAACAAATACGTCTGCATTATTCTCATCGCATTTCACTCCGGATTTATAGAATAGCCGGCAGATATTTGCCATGCCACCGCTCAGTTTCACATCACCCCTTGGAGCTAGAGGGAAGGGAAAGAGCCTGCAAACTTTCCGAGAAAGTAAAGGGTTAAGAAAAGCCGTTTCTGTGATCATTATCGGCTTCTCCTCACTACTGAAAACCAAAATCAAGCCCTGCTTGTCTACTACCCCGCTGTATCAATGTGTCCTTAATGCCTTTTCCAGTCATTGATCTGGTCAAAGTCACTGCAGAAATACTAGTGACAGAGACTCAATTTCAGGCAACGTGACCAATGCGAGTATTTAGAAAGCATTCAATAAAAAAGCTTTCCYGGGAAGTGAATGATTTCACCTTGCAACAAAGAGAGCCGAGCTAATTGAAATAATGCACTTGAATGTGCAGCGCGCACTCCGGTGCACCGCCACCGAGCACCAGGAGCTCTCCTTGGAGATTGCTCCACAGCGAAAAACCTGTACGGAAAATGCTTAATAATGGGTAAGGTAAAAACATATTTACCTTATCCAATAATGGGTAGGGGAAAACAATATTCCCCTTTTTTGGGGAGGCAGTTGGAATTCGGGTCTGGAGATTTGCTTAATCCTGCTATGTGACCTGGCCTCTCTGTGATAGGCACCAGTGAGTTGTGCACAGGCAAAACATTGAGGGAAAAGCAGAAAGGAAGCGTACAGGGGGTGGCAAAAGAAATTAAAAAGCTAATCTGCCACGCCTACACTCCCTTTTGCTGATCCTCCATCCAATACATTGGACAAATTTCCATGTATTTTTTAGGAAGTTCTGAAAAGAAACAGTTCCGTGACTTCTGCTTACTTGGTTCGTGACTTCTGCTTACTTGGTTATGACGAGGGAGTGGGGCTAATGGAGCGGGAATTCATTTCACATTGTACATTTTCTAAGCATAATAACACCTATGGTCAAGCAGCTGTGAGATTCAGGCAGTTTAACTCTCGTACAACTGAAGTCAAGTCATTTTAAGAATAGAGATGGGAGTTGGAGCTGCCATCTCCAACTCCAAACTCCAGGGCCAGTTGTTTAAACAGTGGTCTTTGTGCCCGAAAGCATCTCATTCACTTCATGTCTTCTACATTTGTAGACAACGGATTTGTAGGTCTATGTTCATTTTACACGTTTATTGCTTCAAGACATCCCCTAGAGTTTTATTAATCCCATGACATGGCATTTTCTCTAATATCTATGTGAGACAATAAAGGCATTGGATTTAGCAGATTTGTGCGCAATCTGTAAAACAACTTGATGGTTACCACCTGCCATTTCCAAAATGGCCCCAAATACACAGTGATATCCCCTGACAGGCCAGCAAAGCACTCATTTTTGCCTTTACCTATACACGACAAGCTCTCTGACCCAGAAGTGCCAATAACCAAGACTGCTGAGAGCTGTCCCTAGTGATTCACAATACTGAAGCAAACACCCAGCACAAATAAGTATGTTGACTACCATTCATATATTTTGCAGAGCTAGTACATGCTAGAAAATCTATGGAAGGTTTTCTTTTTCATGTCATCTCTAGCTCATTTAAGGTTTCTATTTTGACATGAGGCATGTTATCCATCGGGTATCTATTGACCATATTTATGTTCTGTAGAGCCTACTTTAAATGCTTTAAATCATTCAGGCCTGTGATCCCACTCCAAAGACAGCGTCATTCCAGGYGATTGGCATGGCCTGGGTGTTATGAGAAACCCCAGAAGAAGACGCACCCAAGGACATATCTTCACCGTTGTTGCTGGTATATTATGAGAGAATACAGACAAAAGGAGCAAACACCGGTAGAAGACGAAGATAAGGACCACCGTATCTTCGTGGAACTGGCTGAAGCAGGACAGTAGAACCAAAACAGGGCCTACTGAGTCAAAATGAAGCCATATATGGAAGTGACTTCCAGGAAGACGACCACCAGGGGGTCTCAAAA